AACTTTGATACAGAAGAGCAAAGAGAAGGAAACTGGATGGTCCCACTTGCAATTCTGAAATCATTACAGGAATTGCCACAAAAGCTTAGTAAACAAGAAAATGAAAAAGTAAATTACAGCGTCATTAAATCTTTTTAAATTATTATTTAAAACATTTTTAGGATGCAATTTCAAAATGTGTTTTCAATATTTTTTGAAACATTTGATCTCTCTGGCACAAAGTGCTGGCATGGAAATCTGTCAGTCCTGACAGGTTTGTCCTTTTAATGCAGGTGATGCAGGCCTGGTTCATCTCCTGCTTCTGTAACAAAGAAATTTCATTTCACTTCACCATATGTCCCTTCCACACGCTCCATGAAGCATTGAATTGAGGACGATGGATGATGGACGAACATGCCCATGAAAACAGATTATTGGTACTGACACAGAGAGGCATCCAAGTCATTTCGAGCAGCAGCCAGCCCAGGGCTCAGCAGATCCCTCAGCAAAGGTTGGTGCCACAATGAAACCCCAATTCTGAGATCTGGGCTGTGGCAGGAGCACCAGAATCTCTCTCAGAGATGGGATCATCACCTGAACCAAGACTGGAGCCCAACACTTGGTTCACAGACCAAGAACACTTGGATTTGTGTTCCCACCTTTTAAAAGATGTGAAATAAACATCACAGTGTTCCCTGTCTAAGTCACATTCATTGTGTGGCCACACAGGCCACGTGCTCATCTCTAGGAACACACTGTGCTGTCATGATACCAGAAACCAAAACAATTGCTGGAATAATCTGCCTTTCAAGATACTAATCAGAGCAGGTTTTTGAGATTTCAATCAGATGTGGTTGCTTCTGAAGGCTACTGATTTGAAAAAAATCCAGGATTTGCTCCCAATAATTGTGTTGTGATACCTGTATCTCAGCAAAAGCATTTCCTCATTTATCCTCTATCTTTTGCATGCTTTGTTAAGTTAGAAACTCAAATCAGCACAAAATTCTTGACGAGGGAAGGGGAGAAATATATTCAGATTTAATCTGGTGATTGCAGCTCATTTGTTGCCAACAGCTCCTTCATCAAGGCCACCAGGTGAATTATTAACCTCTTCCATCCACAAACAGAAAAATAACTTCAGTCACGAGGAAGCAAAAACAGAAAAAAAGGTTCCTTGGTTTATCTGGGTAAACTTGCATTCGTGTCCTGTCATGGGAAAGGGACACAGCAGAGGAAATGCTGCTGGAGGGGAGAAAGGCAGGGAGAAAAATGTGAGCAGGGCATGGAGAAAAGCAGGAGCGTGGAAGGAAGAAAAGTATGAGCATGGCAAGGAGAAAAGTGTGAGCAGAGCAAGGAGAAAAGCAGGAGCAAGGCAGGGAGAAAAGCATCAACAGGGCAGGGAGAAAAGTGTGAGCAAGGCAGGGAGAAAAGCAGGAGCAGGGCAGGGAGAAAAGTGTGAGCAGAGCAAGGAGACAAGCATGAGCAAGGCAGGGATAAAAGCATGAGCAGGGCAGGGAGAAGAGTGTGAGTAGGGCAGGGAGAAAAGCATGAGTAGGGCAGAGACAAAAGTGTGAGCAAGGCAGGGAGAAAAGCGTGAACAAGGCAGGGAAAAAGCATGAGCAGGGCGAAAATCATGAACAGGGCAGGGAGAAGAGTGCCTGACTGCCCTGGAGTAGATGTGGGGACCCTCCTGGTGGCAGCAGTGACATCCCAGTGTCCTGGCACCTCACTGCTGCTCTGGCTCTGCCTCTGCCCAGCACTCACTGCAGCACAAGGTGAGAAAAGACTTTCCTGGGGAGGGGTTCCACCAAAGCAGCCAAAGCTGTCTCAGGGGAGACAGAACCCTCAGAAATGAGTTCCAGAGCAGCAGCTGCCTGCCAGGGTACAGGAACAGGCAGCAATCCTCCCAGGCTGCTCCAGCCAAACCCCATCAGTCAGCTCCCTGCCATCAGCCCCAGAGCCCAGCCAGGCACTCCTGGCACTGCTCCAGCCCCCGGGGTGCCCCCTGACATTGCTGTGACCAGCAGCTCCAGCACACCACTGGTTCTGAGCAGCTGGGGAGCAGGCACAGAGCAGGTAATGAATGCAGCTTTGGGCAGTAAATTCAGCACATAAATAGAGAGGCAGGCAGCAGGTGCCTGCTGCTGTCCCTGCCAGCCACCCCTGACCCTGTGTCCAGGCTCTGCAGCAGGTAAGGGAGGCATTTCTGGGAGCAGGGTGTGGGATGGGGACTCTTGGCTGTGCTGGGGGGAAGGATTTTGATTTGGGCTTTCTTCCAAGCAAAGGGTAATTGGGGCAAATAAAGTCCAAAAAGGCAACAGAAAGGCTCTGGTAGTAATGGGAGGAAAGGCAGGGAGGACAGGTAGAGACACTCACTGGGAAGGCTGGAAAACAAAGGATAAATGGGGTGTGCTGGTAAATGAGGATCAAGGCCAATTCATGTTATTTTAAAATGTATTGAAGGAAAAGGAGCCAGAAGCAAAAATTAGTTAAATCAAATGAGAGATAAAGCAATAAAATAAAGTCATCCAAGTGTCTCCCCAGTCTCACACCTAGGGGACACTCCCAGCAGCAACAGCAGCATTTCACCAAACTTCACAGAACCCCCTGAAACTCAGATCCTTCTGCAAGCAGGGAGGTTCTGTGACAGCTCCTGGTCAAGCAGAGCAAACATTTATTACAGAACACAAATCATCCCCTGTGAACTCCGGCAAAAATAGCACCTTGCTTCACACTGTCTCCTTAAATCACATTTTGTATTTTGCTTTTATATCAGACTGCTGTGAGTTTTGAGAATAAGTAAGAAACCACAGAAACTCATTTTTGGCCTGGGTACTTTTTAAGAAATGAAGTAATTCCTCAAAAGTACCCCCAAAAAAATCAGGCATTAGGACATTTTCCCCAAGGAGCCCATTTACTATGCTGTTACTCCAAGGCAAAAAATAATCTTTTAAATAAGAATCACCAGTAGGTCAAGCTTTACACATTTAAAGCGGAGAGTGGCTGTTTCCAAATTGCTTTTACTGCTTTCAAATCCTAGTTTAGAGCAGGGGCTCAGTGGTCTCTAGTGAGGAGGTTTTCCTCTGCTTTTAACAGAAATTCCCATCTGCCTCATGGGTGTGATCCCAAAAAAGGGCAAATGGGAAAATAAAGGAAACATCCTTCCCTTTAACACAACAAATACAACTGCCAAAAACCAGCATGTATTTAATAAATGCAATGTAGATTGCTTTATTTGACCTTCTGTTCACAAAATAATTTTATTATATGTATGAAAGCAGCATACAGGCAATAAAATTATGAAAACATTCACAATACATAAATACACAGACCTGATGCAGGATGTATATAGTTTGTTAGACTTTAATTTTTTTTTTTCCTCTCAGTTCTCTTTTCCTGACAACACATTTCTTCTGATATATGTTACGAAAAAGTTGCTCCAAAGGGTATTTTCTCCCATTTAGAAAAGAAATGGATTCCTTTGAATGCTGCTGAATATTAACACCCAATGCTCCTGTTGCTAATGCTCACTGATTGCTTTTGGCATTACAGAGGGAAAGCAGCAGGGAAGGACAGTGGCAAAGTAGCAGGATTTTTTTAATTAAACATTGGAAACTTTTTTGGAGTTCACAGGAGGGTTTCGAGATGGAGGCTGCAGTTCCAGCCGGATTTAGAAATGTTTTAATCCCAAATGGTAATGAGGCCACAATTCCTTTATAGATTGGAGTATTGACATGGCAATCTCTAAACTGTGATGTCCTCCCAGCTCCCAGGGTAAAGCACCAGGGACCCCAGGTTTAAACTCTGTGACAGAGGAGCAGACAGTCCTGCAGGATAACCAGGTTTTGTTACCCTTCCTGCCATTATAACCCAGTGTGTTTGTTCAGAAAAGATATCCAAGACTTGAAATAAGAAAAGTCTGAGAAAGCTGTTTATCTTACATAAATACAAAACACTATATACTAAAGAATTGTTATCTAAGAAGCTTTCCTTCCCAAATTGGATCCTTCTTAAGGTTGTAGTCATATTTAAGGTATTTACAGATCCACAAACTTGACATTCTAGCAAAGTCTCTGTAACATGAACCTTTTTAAAAATAAATAGCAGCAATTTCTTTTATTTCTATAAGGGAAGAAAATTTGCAACTCAGTCAACTCTGGTCCTATCTTTTGAAAGAAATCCCACTTAAAAATAAAAAAAGCCCACAAGCAAACCAACTCCACACAGCATCAGTTCTGTTGATTCCTTCATTTGTTGCTGAGCTCCTTAACACTGCTCCATTCCCCTCACCAGCTCTCCAGACTATCAGAGCTTGTAATAAAGTGCTGACTGGTTGACTGGTCAAAATGCAGTTATGACACTCCAAAAATATCCCATTATTTAAACATCTTAAATAACATAAATAAAGCTAGATCTGTTATAACATATGAAAAATATCAATTTAAAACAATAAATAAATAAAACCAGTATCAACATATTACCTCCCAAAGCTTTAAAAATAACCATTCTTGTTATAAGGCTCAATTATTTGTCAGAAATAATTTTAAGAAGGCATCTACCTACCTTTACAATCCCTCAGTCATTAATTAGGACCTGTTAACACCCACTATCACAAGACAAAGCAATCTTTTAATTTCTAGTAAACATTAATCTTTAAATACTCAACATTTATCTTTTGCGTCACTTTTACCTAGAAATTGGTTTCTCTGTACAGAGAAGAAGCAACATTTTCTTTGTAACTGCACTGTATCTAAATTTGTAGATTTTCCTCAGGGTGAACAGTACAGTTTAACATCCTTTTTTATAACCAATTTCCAGTATCTTTTTCTGTTTATTGTTTGAAATGTTAAATTTGCTCTGAATGCCAGGAAAATTAATTCTGGGCTTGGTGTAAATGTGCATTTTTCTCCCTTAGAGGTTAGGTTCTTACCAAAAAAATCTCGTATATCTTTTTTTTTTTTTCCCCCAAAAAAGATTATTACAATATACACCATTAGGTCTTGCTGAGTAAACCTTACTGTTCAGGTTTTATGCTGCCCATTCTGTGTAATGGGATTGATCTTTTCCAAAGAAACATCAGCTTCGTAATCCAAGATACCCGACAGCGCTGGAGACATTTTCTCCAAGGTCTTTGACAGTTCACCCTCCTCGTCTTCCTTTTTAAGAGGTTCTTCTTCCGGGCAGATAATGGAGTGTGGGATCAGATAAACCAGGTTGGACTCTTTGGGGCTGGACCCTTTGGGCTCGTGCTGGCTGGAGAAGACCACGGCCCCGTTGTTGTTGATGCTGACGGTCTCGATGGCGTTGCCAGCCAGGGGGCAGAGCCTGTAGCAGCCCAGCAAGGTGGAGAATGCCTTGCGGAAATCGGCGTTGAAGGCATAGATGATGGGGTTCAGGGAAGAATTGGCCCATCCAAACCATATAAAAACATCAAAGGTGGTGGAATTAATGCAGAAAGCCTCGGCCCCCTTGGAGGGCTGGGTGGGCTCGCAGAAGGGAATCATGCAGTTCAACACAAAAAATGGCAACCAGCAGCACACAAACACCCCCATGATCACTGAGAGGGTCTTTAACACCTTGGTTTCCCTCTTGAAGGACATTTTGAAGTTGCTCTCTGGCTGCTGGCAGTCCATGCTGCTCCTGTTGCCACCCGGGTTGTGGCAGTTCTTGGCATGCACTGCTGCTCTCTCCAGAGCCGAGATGCGCCGGATTTGCTTCTGAGCAATCCGGTATATCCTGGTGTAGGTGACTATCATGATGGCCACGGGGATGTAGAAGCTAATCAGAGAAGAGGAGATGGCATACATCCTGTTTAGGCTAGAATCACAGTTGTCCATGGTTACACCTTCTAAGCTGGCGTTGAAGTCCAAAAAGCTCGTGGTTGTAGCCTTGTGCCAGTTGAGCTGCACTGGGATGAAGGAGATCAGCACGGACAAAGTCCACGCCACGCTGATCATGATGAAGGCTGCCTTGGGGGTCATCTTCCTCTCGTACCTAAACGGGCTGGAGATGGCCCAGTATCTGTCCACGCTAATGACACAGAGGTTTAAGATGGAGGCTGTTGAGCACATAATATCAAAGGCCACCCAGATGTTGCAAAATGAACCAAAAGGCCAGAAACCGGCGATCTCGGCCACAGCTTTCCAAGGCATGACCAAAACCGCCACTAAGAGATCTGACACGGCCAAGGAGATGACAAAGAAGTTGGTGACCTTGGACCTGAGGTGGCGAAAGCGAATGACAGCTGCGCAGACCAGTGTGTTCCCCAGCAGCGTGGAGAGGATCAGCAGCGAGAGGAAGCAGCCCGTGAGGATCCGAAAGGAAGAGGAGTCCCTTTCCACCAGCAGCCCTTCCTCGTCCATAGTGGTGTCGTTCCAAGTCATAGTTTCTCCTGAGGGAAAATCATATCATGATTTTCATGACGACATCAACTCCTCTCCTTGCAGAGATCACAGAGACCAGACGGGCATTAATTACTCATCACCAAACAGAGCAGAGGTCTTTTCCTACAGTCCCTTTGCCCCCAGACAGACCTCACCCTCTTTGAATCACCCTAACAACATCCTGAAATCTCTGTGGGCAGGAACTGAAAATGCACAAACACAGTCCACCCTACAAAGAGAGGGTTTTTAGCAATCCCTTCAGAAACACACTGCACCACCCCTGCATGGAGTAGCCTAACTCAGACAGCTCACCTGTGAATGTTCTGCTGCCGTCCTCTGCAAACACACCCCACACACAGCAAAGCAATCACTTTTCCATGCTTGCATCTATTCCCACTTCAATAGACTATTGATCGAGTGTTTCCAGTGTCCACTGCACCAGCCCTTCATATTTACTGAAGCATATCAGACAAGATGCCTTTTCTCTGGTTCCCTAAATGTCTCACTGATGAAACACTCCATCCTTCCTCCTCACTACATTCCTGTTACAAAATGCACCAGTTCTCGCTCTGTTTCTTGGCAGTATCAGAAAGCAAACCTTCACTTTGTTTCAAACTGTTTTACATTTCCAAGACAAAATAAATAAACATACAGTAGGTGTGTTTTAAAGGTTTTCAGCAAGAAGTAGCTCAGGTTATTTAGTCTGACTTAAACAAGAAATGCTGGCTCCTACCTTTCACCTCTGATTCCCTGCTTGCTCTGGGACGCAGGGCCGTCTCTCCTCCTCTTTTAGTTTTGGAATTGCATAGCAAATCTTATATACAAAACCAACACAGGAGCACTGCATTGCATCGTGTATGTGGGTTTTTTTCCCTGAAAGTGCAAACCGGCAGGGGAGAAGTAAGAGTTGGACCACCAGGAGTTATTTTTCAGGGGAGCAGCAGGTCTGTGCCGTCGGACCGTGCGTGACGGACCCTGCTGGTGTGTGCCCAGCTCCCTCCATCCCACGGCCCCTGCCGATCACTCTGCAAACTTTGCTGGCCCGATCAGTCCCAGTCGCGCTTTGTACATCCCGTTGAGGCGGCACGTCAGGGCAAATCATCCCAGCAAAAGGCACGGTATTCCCAACGCTGGCAAGAGCCGATTAGCAGTTTTTCCCTCGGTCGTTTGCCGGCTGAAGAAAGAGGCGAGAGGAGGAGGAGAAGCACCCGAGTGACCTTCCCGCGGCCGCCACGCCGGCGATGCCCGCAGTGGGTTCCTCTCCCAGCAGGAACAAGTCGCTTTAACACTCCGCTGCCAAGTTATAGCTCTCCATAACTACTCCGGAATAATCCCACCTCCTGCTCAGCGGGGCTGCGCTCCAGGGATCGGGTCCAGCTCTCACCATGCTGTTTCCCTCTCGGAAAGGCGCAGGCGGAGGCAGCTCCTCACACTCTCCCGCTGCCCGCCCCGGGCCGCGCATCTCCCGGCTGCTTCCTTCTGCCCGGGGCAGGGCTCGGCAGCATCGCCCCTCCAGGAACGCTCTGCCTGCCCGGCGACTCCTTCCTAAAGGATTAACACAAGGGAATGACAGGCATGGAGGCACGCAGCGGGCAAAAGCCACCCCCCTTCTCCTCCTCTAACATCTTCTGTCGGGCGCCTCTTCTTCTGGGCAGCTTTTCCTGGGGAACAACGTTCCGGGCAGCCGGGACTCGAGGCAGAGCGGGCTCCGGCAGCGGCTCCCGCGGAGTTTAGCGCAGCCGGGATTACTTTGCCCGAGCCCGGTGCGCTGCTGCGGACCGTGAGTACCGGCCCCGCTCCCCCGCGACGGGCGATGCTCGGGAAGGGCCGCGGGGCGAGGCAGCGCCACCGGGGCAGCGGAGAGAGCGCGGAGCCCGCTCGGAGCCGCTCTGGGCGCGGCGGGGCAGCGGCCGGGGCTGGGGGCTCGGCCGGGACAGCGCTCCGTGCGCCGCCCCCGCCTGGCGCAGCCCCCGGCTCCCGGCGCAGCCGCGGCCGCCGGGCTCCCTCTCCTGGGCGGAGCGGGCGGGCACGGAGCGGGGACAGCGTCCCACGGCGCTCCCAGCCCGGCCCGGAGCGGGGACAGCGTCCCACGGCGCTCCCAGCCCGGCCCGGAGCGGGACAGCGTCCCACGGCGCTGCCAGCCCGGCCCGGAGCGGGGACAGCGTCCCACGGCGCTCCCAGCCCGGCCCGGAGCGGGGACAGCGTCCCACGGCGCTCCCAGCCCGGCCCGGAGCGGGACAGCGTCCCACGGCGCTGCCAGCCCGGCCCGGAGCGGGACAGCGTCCCACGGCGCTCCCAGCCCGGCCCCGGGGCTGGCACCGCCGCGTCCTGCGGGCAGGGAGCGGGGAAGGGCCACGGACAGCTCCCGAGTGCATCGTGCGGGACACAAACACTGCCCCGAGGGCACGGAAAGCCCGTCCGAGCACATCCAAAACCTCCTGGCAAACTCCCCCGCCCCGCTCGGTAGTGAGCACCAAAACCGGAGCGGTTGTTACTCAAATCGTTCTGTTTACAGAAGGGCCTTTCCTCGCTTACCTTAGCTGCAACAGGCAGGGAAAGATGAGCATGCTGGTTTGCAGCCTTTGCACAGGAATCTCACCCCCCAAAAAATCAGGAGATAAATATAAAAGACATCACATTTGTACTAGAAGATCAAATACTCTTAATAAGTTGTAAACAAAAATTCTGTGGAGTCCAGCACTTGTGAAGTTCCTTTGAGCCATCTATTTCTCATAAGGTCACTTAAAGCAGACACAGTGCTAAGCTAACCTTGACTAGTTAACTGAAACATTTGTTTTCCTTTCCCCTTCTCTTTCTTTTTTTATAAATTTTAACTGCTTCTCACCAAGTTCTCATCCCACCCTCCCCCTGCTCATTATCCTGTCCTTTAATCATCATTCATCCCCAGAGGAGGGTGAAAATAGACAAGAAAATGAATCTTGTACTGTTTGGTAATAGAGATCTCTAATGAAACTCACTGTGAGTTTTCTTTTTCTATTTTCAAGATCCTTTTTCTATTGTCTCCTGTTCTTAAAGCTCCACACAGGTGAGGTTTAGTGCATGATAAGTATTTGCTGCAAAGGCAGCACGTTCCTGCTTTTCCATAGAAACCCTGGGCTGGAGGAAACATTGCCTGCAGAAGAAGCCACTGAACACACTTGATTTTATTTGCAAAAATTTTCAGAGGCTCTTCTAAATTGACTTTCAACCACAGCCATCTTGGATTATTCCAGGAGAAATCACAAGTTGCAATCACCCAAAAAGCAAAATTTTTAAGGCATATTGGAGAGAAATACTGAGGTACACATTGCAGAGGAGAGAGAAGTCTGCTCTCAAGCATCTGCTCATCAGCTCATCCAGTGAACTCTTTTTTTCAGTTAATTTTACCAGGGAGTGGCCTTTCCTGGGGGAGAGGCTGGGCTCAGCATTGGAAGAACCTAACGCTGCTGATATGAGTGAGCGTTTCACTTGAATCTGACATTTAAAGAATCCTTTTGGATCACTACTCACAGCAGCTTGTAAGGCTCTCACAGCAATTTTCTTATTTTCCTGGCAATTCAAGCATCAGTTTCAGAAGCCAGAGCCTCTCTCCTGTCTCTCCCCTCAGTTTGTGTGCCCAGCCCAGGGGTGAATGTGAGGTCTGGCTCAGCCCTGACTGCAAAGCCCCTTCAGCAGTTTCAAACACCAGCATTCATCCAGGGCACCCTGCTGAACTCATTTGTCACTTCTGCTGATTTATGAGCTTTTAAATCTTTCATGACTTGACAGCCATACCCAGGTGAGGAACAAAAGTGAAATCCACTAAAACCCCTATTATTATTTAGGCAAATTTAATGCTGGCATTAGGCAGCAGATTGCCACAGCTCTGGGAGCCAGTCACACGAGTGCTGGGTCATTTTTCCTTTTGCTGCTCTCTGACCAAGCTGTCCCCAGCCAGTGTGAGCAGAATCAGCTCTGGTCCAGCTCTGAGCTTGCCTGAAACTCTCAGCAACAGGATGATGGTGCAGGTGTTTCCTGGAGATTCAGAAAATGGCACAGAGCTTGTTAAATTCTCCCTGGGTACCCACATAAAACAGCTGCTTAACTTTATTTAATGTTTTTCAATCACTACTGGCTGCTGCTGGAATCAAAGCAATGGGCAGCAAAGGAGAGATTTTGTGTCTCTATTCCCACCTGCTCCTCCCAGGAGATACTGGTTGGACAAGACCTTATGAAGACTTAATATAAACACTGAGTAGCACTTTGATTCAAATAATCTTAATTCAAGCAGAAATTGGCTATGGGAAGACCAAGTTTGAGCTGAACAAAGCCCAGATCTTGCATTCAGAGATGGACATTCTTTAATCTAAACAGTGCACACACTAGACATGGAGAAAGCTTAGCTGAATTTACAAAATATACTGTAGTATGTGGATACAAACTTTACTCACATCACCCTAAGGAGGACTTTTCATGTCTGCAAGAATGGAATTTACTAAACAAGAAATCAGCTGAGGCATATTCTCAAAAATAATGTCTAAAAGAGCTGTCAGATTTGTAAATAACTGGTTATACTAATAAACTGAAATAAATTTAGCCTCAACGTAACCTTCTTGGAAAAGTCAAGGGTTCCTGGAAACCAAACAGCTCTGAAGTCTTTTAAAGATCAGTGAAGTACATTGTTTAAATTTATATAACGTTGTGTATTCCATGAGGAAAACCACAGTAGTGACTACAAAACCACAGAGCAAAAACCACTGCTAACATCTCCAAGGATCTCAAGCTCACTCTTGAATGATAAAGATCCATCAGCAGGGAGAAAGGATCAGTGAGAGAAATTATTTCTAGTCCCCAAAGGCAGACAACAAGAGACCTAAATATTCAGTATTTGAGTGTGGGCACTGGTTTTTTTGGACTATACATTATAGTCACTGCAGCTGGCCCTCAGTGCCTGGCAGATTCAGCAGGGCTGATCTCAAAAAGGACATCAGTGCTCAAAAAGCACATCAGCACATGTTGACTTGTGAACTATTCCTCCAATGGCAGCCACAGAGCATCCCTTGGCATCAGGTCACTGGTGAAGTATGTGAGGAAATTTGAACACTGGCAGGGAAAAGGAAAATCAAAAAAAGCCCAGAGAGAAGCACCATGTTTGAAAGTCTGAATTTAAATCACTCATTTGAGGGGGCTCATTCAGGCTGGACACAGAGGGTAGTGCAGGAGGGTACAAAAGGCAAGGATTTGCTTTTATTTGCTGCTCCCCGGGATCTGGAGCTCATGCACTGGTGCAGAATGCTCAGGGGGCAGGACCAGGCACTGCTGCTCCCCTGGCATCATCTCCCCTCTCAGGCACTGATGCATCAGCAGAGCCTCACCGCAGCCAGGAGAGCCCAAGTGCAGCCCTGGGCCACAGCAGATGGAACCTGCAGGAAGGATTTCTGCTCTGCAGGAGATCAGGGAGCCTCTCAAAAGGCAGCCTCGTGTCACCCACAGGCTTTAGGAGTGCTGAAAACCATCCTCTGCTTGTTCCATCCTCCCCTCCCAGCCCTCTCCTGCTCAGAACCTGTTCAAGCTCTGCTCCCCTTTCCCTCCCTCCCCAGTGATCCCTCTCTGCATCTCCCTGGAGTTCCCCCCACCCAGATTTTACAACAAAATGGCTCTTTTTGGAGAGATGAGGAAGACAGGAAAGAAAGAGAAGCACCAAACCTGCTGCCAGGGGTCCAAGCAGAAGCTGTCACCTGCACAGTGCCCAGCCCCAGGAGCTGTGGGTAATTTAAACTCAGTGTGATGCTGCCAATAACTGTGTTATTCAATCTGCAGAGCTCATGCAGTGACTTTTTATGGGGTTTTTCCAGTTCCACCCACTCACTC